AGGCTGAGGCAGGAGACTTGCTTGAGCCCAGGAGTTGGAGGTTGCTGTGAGCAGTGAAGCCATGGCACTCTACCCAGGGGCTCAGCTTGAGGCTCTGTCTCAAAAAAAAAAAAAAGATTTCTGTACACATTAGCTACCTTTTGCCTTCCACCATGAGTCCTTGATGTCCTCAGCAATTGCCCAATCTTGAACCTGCCAGCCAGCTGAACCATGAGGTAAATAAACCTTTTTAAAAACTACCCAGCCTCATGTATTCCTTTGTAGCAACATTAAATGGACCAAGACAACTTTTTAAAAAATAGATAACTAGGCTTGGCAGCCATAGCTCAGTGGTGAGGGCGCCAGCCACATACACCAAGGCAGGCAGGTTTGAACCCGGCCCGGGCCTGCTAAACAACAACAACTATAACAAAAAAAATAGCCAGGCATTGTGCTGGGTACCTGTAGTCCAAGCTACTTGGGAGGCTGAGGCTAGAGAATCACTTAAGCCCAAGAGTTTGAGGTTCCTGTGATCTGTGATGCCATGGCACTCTACCAAGGGTGACATAATAAAACTGTCTCAAAGATGTGAAGAATAAAGTATGTGCCACTGGAGAGGCTTGTTTTCTGATGAATTCGTTTGTCTTCCATAAATGATTCCATTTTCTTTTCCCTTTAGGAGAACAATAATCTTCACATTGTGATTTCATTTTGATAATAACACTTAAGTGACTACTAGCATTAGAATATACTTCCTTTAACCATGAAGTCAAAGAGACCCTGATGTGGAGGTTTGGGAAGGACCCCAAGAACTCCTAGGCTATGATTAGAATGAGCTAAGTTGGCATCTGGGAGATAGTACAAGAAAAGATAGGTGAGGAGTTTGTAGATTGAGAAGGGAAGGACTGTTAGAGATCATCTGAGCCATGGGTTATGATGGGTCCTCATAACCTTTGGAGCACTGCTGGCCCAGGAAGAATGGGTCACTCCTTGTGAAGCTGGTCATCTTCCACCTAGTGGTTAAGTGGATTCTACAGATTTTCCTCTGTAATAATTAATGATATACTAACCTTATGTGTTTTCACTTCTACTATGAGTAGACTTCCTTAGCTGTAAAGGAAGAGAGAATATATTAGTTATCCATTGCTACATTACAAGTTATTACAAAATTCATGACTTAAAGCAGCACACATTTATTATCTCAGTTTCTGTGGGGTCGTGAATCTGGGCATGACATGGCTAGGTTCTCTGTTCAGGGGTTTTTAAGACTGCAATCACTGTACTGACTGGGGATATGTTCTCATCTAGAGGCTCGACTAGGGAAGAATTTACTTTCAAGGTCATTCAGGTTGATGGAAAAATTCATCTTGGAGCTAAAGGACTGAGGTTCCTGCTTTCTTGCTGGCTTTTAGCAGAGAGCCACTCTTAAGTCTCTAAATGCCACTTATATGTGTAGTTCCTTGCCACATAGCCTTCTCCATGGGTCCTTTCACAATATAGTAGCTTACTTGTTCAGAGCCAGCAAAGGGAGTCTTTCCCTCCAGCTTGCTAAATTGGAGTCCTATTTAATAAAATATAATCAACCCCATTATGTTTGCCTTATTCTGTTGTTCAGAAGCAAATTACAGGTTTCACCTGCCCTTATGGAAAGGAAATGACTCATTGAGGTCATTTCACCAGAGAGCATGTCTCCTTTCTTCAGAGGTCACTTTTCATTTCCTTCTTTTGGCATGGATCTTTCTGGGCACAGTAGAATACTTATGTGTTTTTCATACAGAAAAAGTTAGGAAATATAATTCACATAAATAGGAATAAGAAGAAATTTTCCATTTGTCCAGAAGAGGCTTTGGCCATGGTGAGAAAGTAAACCGTACTACCTACCCAACTTTAGGAGGACAGCTGGTCCTAGGATATAAAGCGACTTTAAGGCTTTGGATTTTGAGGCCTATTACCTCCAGATCAGTGGGAATAGTAGTCTTTTGTTGCAAGGGATAGGGAACTGCATACTGGACATAAACTTTTTTCATTTATAGTTCACATTCTATTATAAAAGGGAAAACCTGGTGTTACTATAAGGACAGAACTAGCCTCAGCACTAGGAGAGCTTGATTCTGTGTTCTGCTCTGCCGTCTTATTTCATCTCTCTAAAATAATTTATTTTTTTGATATAACATGGAAATCCTCACACCTCTCATAGCTGCCATTTATTAAAGATTTATGTACCAAAGCTTAGAGCATTTATTTCCCACACTTCACCGAGACTATCCTTGGCAGCTTGTTAAAAATACTAACTCCAGACTCACCCCATCCTGTGATGCTAATAAATATTTCCAAGGAAGATTACTGGAATCTGGGTTAAAAGGTGACACAGGTGATTTTTTTTCTTTTTTTTTTTTTCTTTTCTTTTTCTTTTTCTTTTTCTTTCTTTCTTTACTTTCTTTTTTTTTTTTTTTGTAGTTTTTGACCAGGGTCAGGTTTGAACCTACCACCTCTGGTATACGGGGCCACAGGCACTGCCCGACTCAGGTGATTTTTATTATCAAGCTCATTGAGGAAATAATATAGTCTTGTTTCATTCCACCAATGGCAATATAAAGTAGATACTTTTATGTTCTATTTGCAAGTGATAGGTTCAGATAGGGTCATAAAAGTGAGAGCAAAGCTAAAATTCAGGTTTTTATTGACCTTGAATCCTATTCTATTAACCAATATGTTAATAGAATAATATGGGTTTGTGTAATGTATGTCTCACAATTAGACCGAATTTGTGGTTTGGAGGAAGAGTAAAGCAGAGATGAAGTGCCCTTCTTACCACATTTTTATTTTTACTTTTTTTTTTTTTTTGAGACAGAG